ATCAAATGGAGAATCATAAATCAACTGGGTCTCATTATTCAGCTTTATGTCAGGAACCACTGTATGCCCCCCAATTAGACTATCACACCATACAAATTAGCATAAGCAAATTCAACCCCCTTGTTCCACAGCAAGACTCCAAAACCTGATCTGCTCAAGGCCCTTCCATTTCTCAACATTTACTGAATACCTACTACGTATTAGACACAGCTGAATGATAAAAGATGCCTGTCGTCAAGTGGTTTAAATTCTCATTGCTGCCCTAGGTGGTTTGGCTCAGTGGATAGAGCGTCGGCCTGCAGACTGAAGGGTCCCGGGTTCGATTCCCGTCAAGGGCATATGCCCAGGTTGTGGGTTCGATCCCCAGTGGGGGGCATTCAGGAGGCAGCCAACCAATGATTCTCTCTCATAATTGATGTTTCTATCTCTCTCTCCCGCTCCCTTCCTCTCTCTGAAATCAATAAAAATTTTTAAAAAATAAATTCTCATTGCTCCTGAAAAATAATTACATGACCTATTAGTCTCTTCTATAACAATCTTGCTTTATCATGCCTCCTCTGATAACTTCACCAGTCCATTGAGGGGCATTCAAATTAGGGGACACTTTACAATTACAATACTCAACTGTTGTTCCAGGCAGAGAGCACCTTGCTTAATGGATTTGTATGCCTATACCTGTCCAGTCATTGCATCTTTAATGAGTCCTTACTACCCTCATATGTTCAAGCTTCCCATTATACATCCCCTTTCTGGTTGAGCCCCGCTTTATTAGTTCCCCCACCTTCTCCTGCTCCTGCACTTCTTACGCTTAAAATGCTACAGTTCACAAAGCTTTTGCACACAATTATCTCACTGTACCTTCCACAGTATTGACCACATTGCACACTCCACCCGCAAGGCAGTGACGGGTGCGCACTGCTCACGGCTGCATCTGTTAACCTGGTACAAGGCCTGACAAGCACACAAGATACCTCTCCAGTAAATGACGTTTGGACCTTGCTAGGTAGAAATTATCCTTATTTTACAGATGGGGGAGAGGGTGCTCAGAGTGGAGCTTGCTCATGAGGGACAAAACTCCCAAAATCAACTGTAGCCCCGCAGGCCTGGCTCAGTCTTAGGCGCCAACCTGTGGGCCCGATCCTGGTTCCACGCCTGGTGGGGGCACATGCCCGGGTTGTGGGCTGGATCCCCAGTAGGAGGCCTGCAGGAGGCAGCCGATTCTCTCTCATCACTGATGTTTCTCTCTCTCTCTCTCTCCCTCTCCCTTCCTCTCTGAAATCAATAAAAATATATTTTTTTAAAAAAGAACCAACTCTAGGCCCTGTCCGGGTAGCTCAGTTGATTGCAGTATTGTCCTGATATGCCAACGTTGCAGGTTCGATCCCCGGTCAGGGCACATACAAGAAACAACCAATGCGTGCATAAAGAACTGGAACAACAAATCAATGTTTCTCTCTCCTCTCTCTCTCTCTCCCCTCCCTCTCTGAAGTTCAATAAATAAAAATTTAAAAATATATAGAAAAAAAATAAAAAAGATCACAGTTAAAAAAAAAAAAAAAGAACCAACTCTAGTGCCATCAAGCTGTGGGATCGAATTGCAACTGTGCTGCTCGCTCTCAGAGCTGCCTTAGGAAAGTGAACATCCTGGTTCATTTTCTCGTAGGTGCCGAGAGGATAACATTGCGCTGTATTTAGATGAGTTTCGGTAGCTGACACCTATAGTGCGTATACTATGCGCCGGGCACGGTGCGATCTGGGCTCTGGGCGAGGTGAGCCCCTCTGGCCGTTACCGCCTCGCTCGAGATCACGAGGTCAGGAGCCAGCGCCTTCTCCCTCGCAGTCGGCTCCACTGCCCACCACGTGCACCGCCTCCTCCGGAGCCCGGTCTCTTCACTAGGCTCCTAACGGTGTCGCCGAAAGGGCCTGACGCCCAAGGGACGAGCGGGCGCGCCGCCCCCACCTCCGAGCGCACACCCGCGCCCCGAGCCCCGCGCCGGGCCCGCCCCACCACCCGCGCTGGGGGCACAACCCACCAGTGGAGCCGGTGGGTGGCGCTGAAGGAGACGAGACGGGATACTCGCGCCCAGCGGCGCCGACGGGGAGCCGCCTCGCTCATCGCCTGGCAGTTCCGCGCCCGGCACCTCCCTTGGTGACAGTGGCTCGGGTGGGCGGAGCCTCCCGCCAGGGCTGCGCATGCGCGCTGCGCCCGGAAGTCTCTGCGCTGCGCCCTGGGGCTGGGCTCCCTCTGCCGGCCTGGAGGCTGCAGCACTGTCCCTTGCTGATTGGATCTCCTAATTCCGGTAGCTGGGCATACCTAGCCCTGGTCAAATGAATGGGTTTAATGCCGATTTTTATGTCTGCTCAGCCTGAGGCCATGCCACGCAGTCAGGGTCAGTCTGGGCACACCTTCGGGCCCCGGAGGGACTTCTTTGAGCCGCCCCTCCCAGTCGCTTCTACATGCCCTGGATTACAATAGAAACTTCCAGTGTCTGGTTTACCGCAGGGCCGGTCTCCTATGGTAAAGGAGGCAGGAATTCGAGGGTACGTGCAGGACCACGCGGCTTTCGGAGAGTAGACTACCTTTGGACTGTGAAACCGTGTGTCACCCTGGGCTGGCACCGAGCGAGTACGCGCACCCATGAGCACCCACACCAGCGATTCTATGTCGAATGCATCACCTCTCGTTTCCTCACAACTACTCATAAGGAATATGCAAACAACTTACATGCCCAGTACCGTACCAGGTCTTGCTTGCATTCATGCTTTCCTCAAATAGTTATTGAATATCTATTAGGAGGCATTTTTCCCCCCAGCACTGAGAAAGACAGATAAAATCATGGGTGTGGCTGATATATAAGCCCCAATGGTGACTTCTCTCAAGTGCCTCAGGTCTCCAGCTATATATTGTTGGTTCTGCATTAAATTATTAACATGCTATGTACCATTCTTCACACATTTTTCCAAAAATGTTTCTCATCTCCCCCTTGTGCTGCAAAGAAAAAAAACTTCAAAGAATTATAAGCTTCAGAGATTTTTTTTATAGACTATCTAGTTCAGTCCTCCCACTTGACAGGTAAGAAAACACAGGCCCAGAATAGTTAAGTACTTAACCAAGATCACATATAATACAAACAATATTTCCCAGACACTGACTATATCAGTGATACTCAAACAGACAGTGTTTAACACAGACACTTATTCCAAAAATAGTTTGAAGAATCTAATAAAAGGTAAGACATTTCTGGGAAATCATTTTATCTATTTGCTTTAGTAAAGTATGTCATTGAATTTGAATTCTTGCTCTAAAATTTTTTTTATTAAAGCTAATCCTATATAATAAAGAGCTAATATGCTAATTAAACTGAACAGCAGAACAACCGTCCAGATGACCTTCCAGACAAGCCAGGGCCGGCCAGGGCTGCGAGGGCTGAGCCCCTTGCATGAATTTCATGCATCGGGCCTCTAGTTCAATATAAAGGTACTCACAAAATTCACCCTCAGTGATCCAGTTATTGTATCCCCCAAATTAATGGGTTGAAGTCCTAATCCCCAGTACCTCACAATATAACTTTATTTGGAAATAGGTCTTTACAGATATGATTAGTTGAGAGAAGGTCACGAGGGTGGACACTACTTCCTTTTCCCCTCACTTGTGGACCACACAGCCCTTTCCTTGAGTCTCTGGACACTGGCCAGTGATGAGTTGGGCTTAGGGAGAGGAAGAGGCCCTGCCTAGGCTTTCAACATTAGTCAGATGCTCACTCAGTTTTACCGAAACTTTCTGCACTGGATTACCAGGCATTGTGTACATAGATTACAAAACATCACTGACCCCTTTCTGTCCTCTTCTTCAAGAACCTCATAGATGGCAGGGCCAAGCCAGAATCCAGGCATCCGTGGATCAAAATCTTATGATTATGCTACTAACCTTTATATGTTTAAACTTCCCTCCCTGTGTAGTAGGATGGAGTAAAGGTTTATAAACAGAGGAAAGACATGATCACACCTGTATATTTCCTGGGTGTCAACTAGTGGCTCCTTCAGCCTTCAGATCCAGAGAAGATCAAACCTCCATGTCTTGTCTGGAGAAGTATCAGGAGATTTATGTTCTGATGGTTTCCTCAGCCTCTAAGCTCCCACACCTGAAATATCTGTTCTGCTTAGGTTCTTCTTGCCATTGTGTGCCTGCTACTG